GGATGTGGATGCACAGGAAAGTTCATTCACCACTGGTGGGATTGCAAACTGATGGAGCCACTATGTAAATCAGTGTGGAGAATTCTCAGAAACCTAAAAGTAGATCTACCATATGACCTGGATATACTATTCCCTGGTATATGCCCAAAGGACTTGAAATCCTACTCCACAGGTATTTGCTCAGCAATGTCCATTGTCACTCTATTCATAATAGCTAGGAAATGGAGTAACTGAAATGTCTTTTAACTGATAAATGGATAATGAAAATGTGGTGCACAGACATAAGAATTCTATACAGCTGTGAAGAAAAATGAAATCATGAACTTGGCAGGTAAAGAGATAGAACTAGAAAATTTTATACTGAATGAGGTAACTCAAGCCAGAGAGACAAATACCACATATTTGCTCTTATTTTTAAATCCTAGTTCCAAATCTTTAGATTTGAGCATATAACCTGAAGTAACTTACAAAGCTAGGAAATTAGAAAGGGACCACGACAGAGGCATGTGGGTGTGAGAAAGAGCTCTAGAGAAGGGGCTGGAAGGATACAGATGCTGTGAACAGGGGGACTGGGAAAACAGTGGGACACTAAGTTCCTTAAAGGCACAGATGATGACATATTAGTCATCTCTGAGTTCTAGTGTCACAGATTCATGGCAGGCATATGCTGAGCGTTCACTAAATGTTGGTTAAGTTAATACCTGACTCGCATTATTTTAAAGAACCCTGGGGAATGGGAACAGAAATGATACATGGCTGCAAGAGAGAGAAGCAGGTCTAATAATGAGAAGTCAAGAAAGGTAGCATTTCCTAAAGAACAATCTTTAGCAATGAGTAATCTAGTGGGAGCCGATTTTTGAAAATGTCATTGACTATTTTGGGTTCTGAATGATTGACTAATTATGAGAGATTTTTATTACAGTTCAATTGACTTTTTGCATTTTTTGAGTGCTCTACAAGATATGTTATTTCATAATCAGAGCAAATTATTTTAATGAGATGCAGACTGAGAAAGATGAGAAAGTCATGGTCTGTCTGTCTCTGACACTGAGCAGCTAGAGATGACACCTGCCAATGATGATGAGTAAGAGTCTTCCTTCTCTAGGGGAGGAGGGTGGTAGACCAGCAAGCCCTAATTTTCTCAACTTCAATAGCCTTAGATGCTGTTCACTGAATGGTAAATACCAAGTTCCTTCTCTGAAAGAACGTGGCCTAGCTTACTTGGCTGCTCACATTCTGCTAGTGGCTTCATGACATTGGCAGTAGCAGCTGCAATGGGATTTAATTTATCCAACTGAAGTGGGTTCAAGAGACGGTGACATTGTAGTGATGCCCAAACACATGTGGATATGTGAGAGGTGTTCTTGCAGAAAAGCACAGGATATGCCCCTGTGAGATAGCTGAGTGACAAGTGGTTAAAATGTCCTCAACTTAGCACTTCATGCATATATACCCTCAGTATTATGGTTAATTTTCCAAGACAGACATGTCCAAATGGTGGTTTGGGCTAGACTTAAAAAAAATATGCCTTATTCTGATGTTGGAGTACATGAGTTAGTTTAGAAAACCCAATCATTGTTTTTCTTTTGTAAGAGAAAAGACACTTAGGTCATTTCTTCCATGTTATAGTAGATTTAAATTAAGAGGGAACAGGACACTTCCAAAGGAAATCTGTGTGCAGAAGTGACTGGTAAACACGGTGGAACAAATGGGAGCTTCCTTCTGACTACACGAAATCCCAGTCTGGTGGTAATGATGGTGATGGTGGGGAGGTGAGAGCTATAAATTTAATATAATATGAAATAAAATCAATTTCTGCAAAGCAGAAAGCAGTGATTGTGTCCTCACACATGTGAAAGTACTGTGTACAGATTTACACTGTGGATAGTCTACTAACATGAGTAGACTGGTAATTGAAAGTAAAACAAGGTAAGAAAAAAAAATCTAAAACAATTCAAACTAAGAAAAATTCAGATTTCCGATTGTTAGGAGCTGTCACTCTTGGCTTCTAATGGGACCTCATAGGACTCCTGTGTCATCACTGAGTCAGTGAGGCTGCCTTTTCAGTGCTTTGTATTTGACATTATTTGACCACTTTGTGACTCTTCTAGATGCTCAGTACCAAAATGAAATTTAGTCATTTATCTATTGAAAAACAATAGAACTTGTTTCTTTCTGTTTGATAGAAGCTTAAAGGTTTCTATACAGAGACATAAAGGAACTATGTAAGCGCAATGCATTTGGTGATCATTTTATAGACAACTACACAAACAATGCAGGATTTCTCACCCATGTAGGCCCCCAGAGAAATTTTCTCTGAAGTAAACAAATTCAACATGTGCTGGGAATGGGGTTGGGGAGGGAATAAAAGATTGTTGATCTGGAATGTGTTTTGCCAATGATGGGGTTCTCATGTTAGGACCCAGGAACTAAGTTTTCTGCCAGATCTGGTCATTGCTGTACAAATACATGGCTGTAGGGTCTTGCAAAACCTGGCAATAGAAGGATGCGCATATGGCAGTAGAAATCTGTCATCAGAGTTCATTCAGTGAAAAGTCATAGCTCAGCAAGTGCATATAAAAACTACCCCAGGAACTGTGTAGCATCTTCGAGGGTCATACAGTCAACCACCCAGCTGTACATCCTTGCTATTCTATGCCTCTGGTTTTCTAGCTTCCATCATAGTTGCCAACTTGGCCTTTCCGTTTTGTCTTTAGTATGTTTATTTTGAAAGTATCTTCTGGAAACGCGCTTTCTACATCATGGCAGACCAGGAATCAGAGAAAGAAAGCTGAAATCAGTGGTAATAAAACCTTCAAAGGCTTCCCTCCCCCTCCCCTGAGACATACTTCCTTCAGCCATGTTCCACCTGCTAAAGGCTACACAGTCTCCCGAGATTACACCACAGGTTGGTGGCCAAGATTGTGAGCTTGTAATGACACATGTCAGATTTAAACCATAATGAGAACCAATGAGCCATTGCAGGAGGAGTGACCATAGTTTCATATGTTCTTGCAAAGCAATCACCAAATGTTTGCTAAGGAAGGGAGACATCGACCCACAAATACAGTTATGTTTTATTTTCTTATTGAAGTAGACAGGGAAGAATTACATACCAAGCCATGTACCCAGAATAAAGTAATTGCTAAATCTCTCCAAATAAGTTTAAAATGTCTTTCAGTAAAACCATTGCTCAGAACTATCATCAATACAATGTATTGCAGTTTCATTGCTAAGATTTTTTTCTCTTACTGGTAAAGTAAATGGAGTGACTTTCTCTAGTTTCCATTAAAGTAAAGACCCTGCAGAATACTTTCATGTGAAATATTACTTGCATCAGATCTGGTATTTCTTTGCTGTTCTGCCCAATCTAGAGATGGAAGAGAAGCAAGCTGCTCTAGTCAATAACCTCCTTCAATAAGGTGATAATTTGAGTTCTCATGAGTCCGTTCTCAGAGGATTACGGCATTTCCTAGACTATGCCACAGAAGAGAGTTTTCAGCTCCTTTGTCTTTCAGAAACATCTCTGGGGGTGAATGGAACAACAACTCTTAAGTTCTTTCTGTTTCTTTTTTTCATATAAAAACTTAGAGAACTGGACATCCCTTGCATGGTTCTTACGTCATGGTATTTATTTCTCTGCAATGCCCCTCAGATTTTGCCCCCATCTCTCCCTCTCTCATCTCCTTTCATCTCTCCTTTGTTTATCTCAGCATTACAAACATGCCATTGGCTCTGAGGGGAAATAGGCAGCTAAAGAGGAACCAGTTATCAGTGTGTTTTCACATGGCCAATCAAAGATTAGTGTTAGAAAATTATTTAAGCATTTATTTTTTACTAAATTAAAAGTTCTCAAGAATAACCACACAAAGCTCTCACTTTTTTATGTTTCATAAATATTTATTATCTTAGGCTTTCTGTAAGAAAAAAGAATCAAAATGAAGTAAAAATGAAAACAAATTGAATTTCTATTCACAATTACAAATTTGACAGCATTTTTTTTAAGGTTTGGGCATATTAGGAAGAGTGGTTTCTTCTTCAGTCTTGGGAAGGCCTGTCTGTGGTATGCCTGAGGAGGCAGCTGTGGAAGTGACAGGAATTTCCTTGGATGGGAAATGATTCTGATGCACAACGACTCAGAAGCCAGGGGAGTTCACTGGTCTTTGAGACTGAGCATCATGGAATGAGACCAGAGGGATCTAGTTCGCAGGCCCCAAGAGCTAAGTTCAAAGTTAGAGGCATCTCGTCAAGTCAATCACAAAGACTGTAATAACTCCATGCTCTTTTTAGGCTGAATATTCAGTGGAAAAAAAGAAGCATTACTCGGCCATTTCAAAAGAATATTTATTTTATTATTTATTTATGTGTGTACGTTATTTTATGTGTGTGTATGTGCACATTTGTGTGGTGCCCATGGAGGCCAAGAGAGAGTGTTAGATCCCCATGAGGTAAAGTTGCAGGTGATCATCTATGTGGGTACTGAGAACCAAACTTCAGTCCTTTGAAAATCCCAGGAAGTCTCCTGACCCCTCATGCATTTCTTCAGTCTTTGACCATTGTTTTATTAGAATCTCTCATGGTGAAAGGTGTGAGTGTATTGTTGGCATTCATCTTAATAACTCACCATGCTACCTAGCACTTTGTGGCTATTCGATTAAAGCAGCTAGAGTTTCTCTCTGGACCTTAAGAAGGGACTGGTAGGGGATGGGGAGATGGCTCAGAGGTTTAAAAACACTTGGTGCTCTCCAGAGGACCTTGAATCTCAATACCCACATTGTGGCTCATCTGTAATTTCAGTTCCAGGAGATCTGACAACCTCTTCTGACCTCTGTGGGTGCCAGAGTGTGGTATGTACCAAGACATCACATGGCACTCTATTAATATGCATGATTTATATGCACTATTTTAATACATCTATGCATTAGTTAAAATAAACTTAAATTTAATAGTCTCTTATAGGTGGCAAAAATCAAATTCAGCATTTGCCTTACTTCTCAAACTGTTTCTATGTTTTTTTTTTTTAATCTCAGAGAATATCATCATCAATCACACAGTCTCCTAGGTAAGTCCCTAGGAATGGGTATATTCATTCTTTTCCATCCCTGTCCTCCAGCTCCGGCCAGCCACCAGTCCTCATCCATCTTAGTAATTCTGAATTTTACTAATTCTCCTGCCTGACCACCTGCCTTAGTCTGTTTCCCATGAGTGCAACAAAATATCTGAGTCTTGCTAACTCTGCAAAAAATAGAGGTGTCTTTAAATCATAGTTCTTTAGGCTCAAGGACATGACACTGGCCTGGGCTTGACTCTAAAGAGACATCGTAGCAGATGAAATCCGAATGATGACAGCATGTACAAGAAGGAGAGATCATCTGGCAAAACCGGAAGCCAGTGTGGCTGGGGAAGGGCCAGGTGTGCTTTTTTTTTTTTTTTTTTTTTTAAACAGTCCTTTCTCAAGAACTAGCCAGAGTTCATCTATATCAATCCCTTCCAGGAACAGCTCCCTCCATGTCCTAATTTCTCCTCACTAGGCCTCACCCACTCCCAACATCTCCATCTGAGAGCAAGATTCCTATGTGAACCCTTGAGGAACCCCCCGAACCACATCCACACAGTTGTATCATTTCTCTCTGTTGTGTCTACTCCTGCATCACTTCCGGCCCTCACCACCTTAGAAGAGCCTTCCACCTGTTATTGTAGGATTTGTTTGTTTGTTTGTTTTCTATGCAGTTTGGGGGATTGAACCTAGGACTTCATGCATAGTAGGAATTTACTCTGCCACTACGCTACTATGTCCTACAGACTTTGCTCCAATTTCTGATATGCATTCCATTATCTGTACTACCATGAAGGTTACCTTTCTAAATGTGAACCTGCTTAACACCTTGTAATGGTGCTATACCATCTTAAACATCTCCCTTTCCGGAATGGACTGGGTGCTCCTTTACATTTGCAGGGCAGTTCCCTGTCCTGCTATTTTGCTCTTTGTTTATCCATATTGTTACTATTAGTTCAATAAGCTCAGGGAAACGGTGAGGGAGTGCATTAGAATGCTGTCATCTCCTCTGCTTCCATAGGACTGTGTGCATAACTTCACCAAGGCACTAGACATAAAGCATGTAAATTTTTGTTGTATGTCTCTCTCTCTTTCACTATACATTAAACTTCTTGGAGAAAGAAATACTCCCTACCCCAGTGTAATTGATTTTAAATACACCAGGAAAAAAAGCACCTATGAATTCCTCCAATGGGGGAGTCAGTCTCTTCATGTGCTTTACTCTGTGCTTCTGCTTTCAATAAAAATCTAGTTGAGGCCTGGGGGTGGGTGGCATAGAGGTTATCTTATTTTGGAATCTTCAGGCCACGTATGGTCTCTGTTGCTTAGCAAGTACTCAGTAAATTGTTGCTTAATACAGATTGTGCACATGTGCTTGTATGTAGTGTGTGTGTTTCATGTATATAGTACATGCATGTGAGTATCTGAGTGCTCATGAATATGGAGGTTAGAGCAGGATGTCAGGTATCTTCCTCTACAGTTCTTTGCCTTTTCACCTTGAGACAGGGTCTTAGTTACTTCTCTATTGCTGTGACTGAACACCCAAGACCAAGGCAACTCTAGAAGAGTTTATTGGGGACTTACAGTTTCAGAGGGTGAATACATTTCCAAAATGGCAGAGAGCATGGCAGGAGTCAGGCATGGTGCTGGAGCAGTAGTTGAGAACTCACATCTGTGACAACAGCCATGTGACAGAGTGTGGAGGGAGGGCTAACTTGAAATGGCTTGGGCTTTTGAAACCTCAAAGCCCATTCCCAGTAGCACACTTCCTCCAACAAGGCCACACCTCCTAATCCTTCACAAATAGTTCCACCAACTGGGGACTAAGTAGTCAAATATATAAGCCTATTGGGGCCATTCTCATCTAAACCACCATACAGGGTTTCTCACTGAGCCAGACACCTACCATTTCAGCTGAACTGGCAGGCCAAAGAGCCCTTGGGATTCATGTGTCTCCAACTCTCAGTGCGGGGTTATAGGCCCCCAAAACAATGCTGGGCTTCTCATGTATGTGCTGGGGATTTGACCTCGTGGCAAGCTCCCTTATGACTAAGACATTTCCCTGGCTCCTCGATACAGAACTTGAAAAATTATTCTCTATCACATCTAGCAACTTTGCCCTTGTCTTCCCTTGTCTACATTTATTAAACTGTTTTCCCTCTTAAGATGACTTCACCTAAAAACAAAATAAGAAATCATTTATCTATCCTTGCTCTTTCACCTTAACCCCACCTTTTAAAAAAAATGAAATACGACAGTCAATTACTACAACACATTGAAAGTTAACTTTTACTCCACCATTCCAATGAAATTCTTCTTATCAGTGACATCAATTGCTTCCTAATTACGAAAGTCAAGCTTTGTCTTCAGGACTTCAAATTGTTGACATCCTGAAAATCCTTCTTAATTTAGTTTTTGTAATATCATGTCTCCTGGGCTACATCTTCTCTGAATACTGATCAGCTATAACCTGCCATTGCCTAGATATTGGTATCCCAAGGGGTCCTCATCAATTCCCCCATTTCTTATTCTCCTTCAGTAATTTCAGTCAATTCTGCATCTTTCACAATTACTTACATATGCAGTGGACCCAAATTTTGACCTCTTGAACTCTATTTACAATGTGTAATAACTCCTGAGGCTCATAATCTCCTCAAACTTTACATGTTAAAATTGAATTAAGTTTCTTTGCTCAAGTATGACCCCTTTTATATTTCTTATGCTAGTGAGTTAACAGTAATGTCAGTACAGTGACAACTTACTATACTAAAATACATAATAAATCATCTTTACAGAAAAAAGTTATCTTTGATATATTACCAGGAGGGTTTTATATGAATTAATCAGTGCATAACAAATCACCACATGGTTTGAATTTAAAGCAGAATATAGTTATTATTGCACAATTTCTGTGGGGCAAGCATCCACCTTGCCTGGTACCTCCGATCAGAGTATGTCATGGCTACCATCAAGGTGGTGGTTGGGCTAGAGAGTACGTAAGTTACTCACGGCTGCTACCGCAGTGGTGGCTGGGCTAGATCCGGAGAGGCTCTCAGGGTCAGAGGTCTGTTGAAATGTAACACAATTATAGGAGAGACTATCCTATCACCTTGTCCTATTATGTAAGTTAGAAAGCTTCAGGTCCCACACTGCACCACTCGAGGGGTAGAACATTTTTCCAGGGCATGGGTCACTGGAAGTCACCTAAGGTGCCTATGATGGCTTAATTCAAAAGTATATATGGATAATGGGAAAAAACAATACATGCTTATAATTTGGACAAGGCTTACTATGAAAAGAAAAACAGAATTTTAATTAAAAAAACCTTCATTTAAGGGAAGTGATGTACATTAGAAAGGCATCTGTGCTTATTCTGTCTATACTTACTGCCTTAGATAGTATATGTAACTATGGTTCTAAACAGGAAACCCCAAGTACACTCCAATTAAAGCCTGAATTTAATTATGTAATTGGATGAAGAATCATCGTATTATGTGTTAGCATCTTTTGTATTGAGAAGAGAAACACAATGTGGCAGTTTAAATAGTAAATTACCCCCATAGGCTCAGGTATTTGAATGCTGGGTCCCAAGTTGGTAGTGCTGTTTCAGGAGGTTATAGAACCCTTGGGAGGTGGAGCCTTGGTAGAGGAAGTGCATCAGTGGAGGTGGGTTTTGTGGCTTTATAGCCTTACCCTTTTCCCAGCTCTCTCTGCTTCCCCTCCAAGAATGAAAATAAGCCAGCTTCCTGTTCCTGCTGCCATGTTTTCTCTGCCTGTTACCACATGTTCCCTGTAAGCATAGACTCTATGCCTCTGGGATCATAAACCAAAATAAATCCTTTCTCCCGTAAATTGCTTATGTCAGAGTGTTTTATCACAGCAGAAAGGTAACTAATATATTAAAGTCAATTTTTTGTTTGTTTGTTTTTGTTTTTTGGAACAGGGTTTCTTTGTGTAGCCCTGGCTGTCCCGGGACTTGCTCTGTAGACCAGGCTGGCTTCAAACTCACAGAGGTCTGCCTGCCTCTACATCGCAAGTGCTGGGATTCAAGGTGTGTGCTACCTCTTCCCAGTTTAAATTATTGGTTTTTTTCAGTGTACATTAGTTCAACTTTTCCTAATAGTTTTTTAAAAATATGTTTTTAATGTGATAGTTTTCTTTCAAGGTAGATCTTTCAGGCATCTGTTTCTAAAATTCCATTTACTTACTTACTTACTTACTTACTTACTTACTTACTTACTTACTGGGGGCATGAATGTGCCGTGGTATGTGGAGCAGACGGGGATAGAACTCAGTCCATCATGCTTGGCAGCAAGTGCCTTTTACCTGCTGAGCCTTCTCACTGACCCCATTCACTGTTTTCTTACAGTCACCAATCACATAGCTACAGAAGTTCCTTCATTCATAACTTTCCCTTCCTAGGCCCCTACACTCTCCGATACGAACTCTATGGCTTCTCTTTCTCACGCACTTTAGGACGACATCTTGGAGTTAATACAAGAGTTGTGAGGGTATGGGAATGAGAACCCTGTCATTTTAGACCCTCCTTAGGGATAATGGTTTCACTGGTATTCAGTGAAACCCAGTATGCTGTGGTGGATTTCTCTTTCTGTTGACATTGGCGTTGCTGATCACACACAGTCCTAAGAGGCGGCGTCCATATTTCTACAGATATGTGGTCACTTCTCTACTTTCCCTCTCTTTTGCCTGGGCAAGCGCCACATTGATGCACTGCAGCCACTCTTCGGCATTCTTCTCGTCCTTGGCTTTGAAAACATAAGTCTTATTGTCTGTGAAGATCTCAAAAGCCCGAGGGAGAGAGCGATCCCGGCGTTTCTTAGCCACAGCTTTCACACTCTGTACTTTGCTGAGTTCTATTGGGGAGTCGTCAGGATCATCTTTCTGAAATGAACACAAAGGAAAGGTCACGGGATGGTTCCTGCTGCTGCCTAGGTTCACTGGCTCTTGGAATTTTCCAAGAGGGCTAGGTCCTTCACATCCTACGGCTTAAGACCTTTCTGTTTCGGGTGCAGAGGCACCTAAGAGTCCTTAGGACAACAAAAGCCAAACACGTGGCCTTTAGTATAGTACCATAAGTCAACATGAGATAGCCAGTTTACCAAAAGTTATTATAAGTAAAATTAGGAAAATGTTTAATTCATGGTTCTTTGATTTTCTGTCACTTTCTATTTACATTAACACTATTAATAGAGCAAAAGACAGCAGTGAAATCTGGAATACTTTTATCTCAAAATTTCAGTTAGTGGAGGAGGCATAATGTTGAGTTTTCCTTTGTGCTACCTCTGGGAAAAGTTGTGCTCATTCTGAATTGAAAAACAGGATTCTACTTTCTGAGTGGCTTTTGGAATCTTTGCACTAGAAGTATGCGCTGTCCATAAAGATTATTACATTTGTGTTTTAGGAAAGCAGAGGTTTAGGGATCTCTGTGATACCAGAGTCACCACATTGAATGGTTTTAGGATAATTAGAAATGTCTAAAAGCAATGAAGAATTTTCTTCTACTGGAAAATGTGCCTGTGGTTGGATAACTTGCCAACTGTTCCTTCCCACTCCCTCTATGACAGTTATCTCTCCCTGCTTTGCAATGAAAAAGCACTCCTCTTACCTATCACAAACTTTCTATTGTGTATGTCCAGCTTGGAAAAGTCTCCAGAATACTGAACAAAAGAAGCCTACAATTCAACATACTGATGTTAGGGAAGTATTGACCAATCAAGATTACATAATTTTTCTACATCAATTCCATTAATAGACAGCACCCCCTTTATTTTGTGTATCTATGTGTGCATATGTGGAAGTCAGAGGCCCACATCAGAGGCCTCCTCTACACTCTCCACCTTATTCTTTTGAGACAGGCTCTCTCACTGAACCTAAAGCTCATCATCTTGGTTAGAATGACTGACGAGTAAGGGCCCGGGATCCACCTTTCCAGTCTCTGGGGTTGGAGACAAGAGTCACTGTGTCTGCTTTTACAAGAGTGCCAGGGATTCAAATTCAAGTCTTTATGCTTATGCAGCAAACACTTTGCCTTTCCTGGTCTAGCATTTCCTTTTTTATTTTTATTTTTTTTAATTTTTAATTTTTTTTTTTTTGGTGTTTTGAGACAGGGTTTCTTTGTGTAGCTTTGCGCCTTTCCTGGAACTCGCTTTGTAGACTGGCCTTGAACTCAGAGATTCACCTGCCTCTGCCTCCCGAGTGCTAGGATTAAAGGCATGTGCCACCACTGCCTGGCACATTTCCTTTTTTAATGTTTAATACTTATTTATTAAATGTGGCATTATACTTAAATGCATTCCTAAATGATAAAACTTAAAAAGAGAAGTCAATCAGAAAAATGAATACTCAGAAGTTGATCACAGAAGTTAAAACAATTCATGTACATGATTTTCTTTATATTGGAAACTGATGAAGGAGGGGGACTAGAGAAGCAGCTCAGTGGTTAAGAGCATGTCCTGCTCTTGCTGAGGACCTGAGCTCAGTTCGCAGCACCCACATTGGGATGCTTACAACCACCTGTAACTACAGTTCCAGGTGATTTGCTGCCATCTTCTGGCCTCCATGGGCACCTATACTTATGTGCACATACCCCTACACAGACACATACAATTAAAAATGAAAGAATTCTTACAAGTGATAGGGTGATTGAGATAAATAGCTAGGGAGAGGCAGACTAGAAATATGAGTTCAAGGGAAAGAGAAGCCATGCAAATATCTCCACTAACGATATTAATATATGCATTTTTAAAAAGATGGATGATATTGAATTAATGCATTATGGTATTTTATTTTATTCTAGTAATTACATTTAAAGAGGAAATATATTCTTTTTATTGTAAAGTGTTAGTATTTATAGCTCAACAGAAATTACAACTGTTTAAACTTATGATAAATGTGTTGATGATATTTAAAATTTATATGGCAGTGGTGGCGCACGCCTTTAATTCCAGCACTCGAGAGGCAGAGCCAGGCGGATCTCTGTGAGTTCGAGGCCAGCCTGGGCTACCAAGTGAGTTCCAGGAAAGGTGCAAAGCTACACAGAGAAACCCTGTCTTGAAAAACTAAAAAAAAAATAATAATAATAATTTACATGGTATTACATAGAATTTTTCCCCAAAAAGTTCTTTTAGGGACTACATAGGACAAAATTTTAAGACATCTACACTATACAGTTTATGAGCCTAATTTGGTTTACACTAAGTGTCTGATAATAATAAACTGTATCGAGGTCAGTCTATAGCACAGAAACTGATACACCATAACCAATGGAGAATAGAGTTCCTGTAGTAAAGTAAGGAGAACAGTAGGTCAATTAAGATAGGAACAGAGAAAGAACATTGCTGCCTAGCTGAAATCAAGACCATAAGAATGTTAAAAATACACTACAGTTTGTGTCTTTCAGCCTGAGTTCTCATACATCTTCCCCCCCCCCATTCTACCACTGAGCTAAATCCCCAACCCCCTTATACATCTTTATAAAAGAAAGCTAGTAAGGATATGACTGAATTTCAGCAGGATTGCTAGCCCTGGTGGGTTATCGTATCCTTGTGACCAGAGGTATTTTGTTGTATATTATTTCCCACTATTTGAGACACATGTTCTGTCAGATTTCTACAATGCTAATTCCCTGATAAAGATATCAAACAAGTTAGCTAATTATAAAATAGTTTATTCTTTAGAACTTAATTAAAAGTTGAGTTAAGAAGTATATAGATTATTTGAGTACTTGGAAATGGTCTCCTAGACTAATTCTGTTTTTGTCTTAAGGGGTCTGAGAAACACTGTATCTTCCTGTCTATTCCCGAGTTCTTGAGTAAATATAGGAAATTCAGATGGCCACTTTAAACACTTAAAAATGCTTCAATGGGAGCTTATGCCAAAAAACCCCCCATTTTCAAAAAGTCCAATTTAACTGTTTAAATTGAACATGCTTACATACTTACATTCTGAAAAGCTTTTTATCCAGAGAAAAGCCACCTCTGTATGACACAGACTGAGAAACTTACACAATTGCAAAGTATCACAAAAATTCTTTTTTTTTAATTCAAAAAAATTTTGAGGGAGGTCTTATTAAAGAAATACTTGCTCAGACTTCATCATAAGTCAGATGTGCTATACTTGACTCTCAGTACTTTAACACCTTTAATTTATTAATAAGACAATAGTTTAGTTTATATGATGGTTAAAGATGTGGGTCAATCTGACTGAGCTAATGGGTCTCCAAATAGCTGTTACACCATGATTTCTGAGTGTATCTGTATGTTTCCAGAACAGTCTAACATTTGAGTCAGAGGTGAAAAAGATTTGCCCCACCGCTGTGGATGGCATCATTCCAGTTATGCACCATAGAAGATAAAGACAGAGGAGGAGCAATCTGTGTTACCCTAAAGATCTTTTCAGAATGAAAGTATAATGGCATATTCAGTGTAAACAGGCAGAACTCTGAGTCTGAGGCCAGCCAGGGCTACATAGTGAGATTGTTCCTCAAGAATACCACCACCATTACCACCACCACCACCACCACCACCACCACCACCACCACCACCACCACCACCATACCAATACCATCACCACCATCGCCACCACCACCATTACCACCACCACCACACCATTACCATCACCACCACTGCCACCACCACCCCAACTACACACTGGTGCCTATTGTGGTGGCACAACCTACTCCTAGCACTGTGGAGGCAGAGGCACTATGATCACCATAAGTTCAAGGTCAGCCAATGTTCTATCATAAGACCCTGTCCCAACACCTCCCCTTATAGTGTCCGTGTCTTGGGGAGCAGCGGCAGGAGCACAGCTTTACTGTCACCCTCAGCAGCCTGAGGAATTTTCCTGATCTCTTAGAGAACCTGAGTCAGGTCAAACTGGGACTCATGGATTCTACAGAGCAAAGAACTGCAGGACTAGCCAGTCTGATGTAGAGCTGTGTGGGATAAAGACTTTAAGACAGGCTTAAGCATGAGGCGCTCAGAAGGTAAGATACTCAAAAGCCCGGGTCTGGGCTTCTGAGACTCACAACTGGGTTTTTACAATCGTCGTCTGTGGTGGTTTGAATGAAAATGGCCCTCACAGGCTCAGAGAGTGGCAGTACCAGGAGGTGTGGCCTTGTGGGAGGAATTGTACTCTTCCTAATGTCTGCTGATCCAGACGTAGAACTCTCAGCTACTTCTCCAACACCATGTCTGCCTGCATGCCAGCATGTTCCCTGACATAATGACAGTGGACTAACCTCTGAATGTAAGCCAGCCCCAATTAAATGTTTTCTTTATAAGAGTTGCTGTGGTCATGGTGTCTCTTCACAGCAATAGAAACCCTACTAAGACATCAAATATAGGATTTTGGTGGGTTTTGAAAGAAAGAAAAACAATTCAAGTTTAAGACATGTCAAAAAACTCACAGATTTTCCTTTTTGAAACAGAAGTTGGTTTCCAGCCAATGTAAAATAACGTGTTTTCCACCTCTTAATGAACTTCCATCTGACTTGTTTCTCTTTAAGTTTTCCTTCAATGAGAGGCTGGCCATCTTGATTCACAACTGTGGAGGGGAACAGAATGATTGAGCATTTATTTTCCATTATTGATTTGGCAAGTGATCAAAAGTCAGAGTTGCAAAATGAACCAGATCCTGGTGAGCACATTTGAAAAGCGGCCAATGTGGCCAGAGACATCACTCAGTGGTTAAGAGTGCTTGCTGCTCTTGCAGAGGGCTTGACTTTGGCTCCCAGCCCCCATACCATGGCTCACAACCACCTGTGACTCCAGTTCCAGGGGATCAATGCCTTCTTCTGGCATCCGACAGCACCTATAAGCGCACAGTACACATAAACTCACCCAGGCACACACAAATGCATTAATAAATAATAAAACAATTTGAAAAAAAGTGTCAATAACTTGTCAATTTGGTTACAGTTTTCTGCTTTGTGCCAAAAAGATCATTTCAGACACAATAATGAGAAAGTGTGAAAGCCCTCAATTAGTTTTTTAAAGGCTTTATTTTCATTTTTAATTATATATGTGTATATGTTTGTGCAGATGACACAGTGTCCGTAGAGGCCAGAGGAGAGCACCAAAGCTGCCTAATACAGGTACTATGCCCTCTGGAAGAGCAATGAGTGGTACTCTTAACTACTGAGTCATTTCTTCAACTCTCTTCAATGAGATGTTTTAAAAGAACGAGGTCATAAGAAGGGAGTCTAGTTAGTGGTATTTATGTTCTGACACCCAGCTCCCGTGTTTCTGGACTGCTCTGTTCATAGTATTCAGTTCCTTAGATTAGATCGGAATGACCAAATTTGAAAGTTTAGCCTAAAATATTTAATAATGCCATAAGCTTATTTTCTATTGTGGATTCTGCCCATATCTAGGCAATAAAGCAATTCTCATGCTTCATGTCACACGAATTACTTACAACTAACCATAAACCAGGGCTACTGTATTAAGCTGATCTTTTGTTTTCTGGCACACATCTTCCCTTTCTCCTCCGCCATCCTCCAGTGTTTTAGTTTGCTTTCCTGGTGTGATAAACACTCTGACTGAAAGCAATCTGGGGAAGAAAGGGTTTATTTTATCTTACGGGTTACAGTCTATCACCCATCAAAGGAAGCCATGGCAAGAACTCAAGCCAGAGCTTGAAGCAGAAACTCCTGAGAACCTCTGATTACTGGCTTGCTCAGCTTCAGCTACCTTTCTTCTATAGCCCAGATTCACTCACCTAGGGATTACACAGTCCATGGTGGACTGGGCCCTCCCAAATCAACTAACAAGCAAGAAAATATCCCACAGATGTGTCTAATGGAAGAAATTTCTCAGTAGAGTCCCCTCTTCTCATGTGTGTCAGCTGATAACGGAGACAGCCATTACCCCCAGCCAGCACTTGGCCATTTTTAACTTCATCTCAAAATACTTCTCCTGAGAATCTTTCCTCAAACCCAAGACAGAGTAGCCTCCATCTGTCTGCCCTCAGAGCTCATAGTGGTTCATTCATGTCTGGCATCATCACTCATGCATGGTTATTGGTGCTTACCTATTTAATCCCTTTATTCCTCATTCATCTGAAAGCTTTATGAGGGAGGGCCTTTGCTGTGTTTACCACTAAAACACCTGATATCTCACACAGAGCATGGCAAGTAGTAGAGGAATCTATAAATGTATTAAATGAGTAGATTAATTATACACTAAAGTAGAGTACACAATAATTACACATAGTCGTAGAATTGCAAGGTTCACTGGAGTGTTAGAGGTTGAGAAGTTGTATTGAAGAATTTCCTTTCTCTTACCAACTTCGTAAGATTCGTTTTCAGATTTCTACAAAAGCATTTGCTTTAACAGGGAGGTACAATGGCGAACTCCACCAAGAACAGGACAATAGTTACTGGTATTCCATTGCACTCAATTTTCATAGCACTTTATAAGCAAGAAAATTTGTTTTTTTCCATTGCTTTAGATTTTAAAAAATGGACAGTGCCTACTTGGCTATATGAACACAATCTGTCTTTTGCTATCTTAACAAACTATGTCCAACATAAGATAATCAGATGTGTGGCTTTCATTAGCAAAGTTCTATTAAGGTTAGTTTGATATCCATTTCCCCTTTGGTCTAATGGCTATTCAGTTGACTCTTCTATCAACTTAAAATCAAGGCTAAAAATAAAGATAATACATCATGTATATTAGGTAAAGGTAAGGACAGTGATGAATTTAGAATAAAGTATGACTTGGGGTTGGTGTCCATACTAAGTAGTCAGGAAAAGGCTTAGCCTTTTTTTTTTTTTTTTTTTTTGGTTTTTCAAGAGAGGGTTTCTCTGTGTAGATTTGGAGCCTGTCCTGGGACTCACTCTGTAGCCCAGGCTGGCCTCGAACTCACAGAGATCCACCTGCCTCTGCCTCCTGAGTTCTGGGATTAAAGGCGTGTGCCACCACCACCCGAGGCTTAGCCATTTGAAGACCTGAGACCTCAGTGCTAAGAGGCTGGCCCGTCTCCTCAGAAGCTCCTTGATGCCCAGCACTAATGACAGGAGACAGGAGAAACAGGAGCTCGGCACATTAATTGACAATATTAAGGAAGGCATTTGAGTATTCTGCTGTCTTTTTTACTAGAAACCATCTGGATTGGAGGATTACTGTAATAATGCTCTTTATAAATTTGGATTCTTCATAAACACTGTGGTTGCTTCTTTCATGCCGCTCCACACCCAGCAGCAAAAACACCTACACACTGGGTCATGTAGTTCCAGGTTAGGAACAGAAGATCCAAGAAGGAAAAAACGCCAATGAAACAAAACCAATAAATCCCCTCCCAAATGAAATGATTTAATGCAAAGCCTTCTAATAATAGTGCGCTTTTCTTCTCCGTGTCTTTCAAGTAATATTTAAACATGTGGATCAACAGGATTTGCCACTGTATTTCTCCTCAAGGTAGAACCAAATGGTTTACTTGAAAGGCCTATTTGACGAAGTTCACTACCTTGGTAAAACTGCTGAAAGACAGGAGCCACTAGAGACACAACACACAAGGTGTGTTATCCACAAAATCCGAGAGAGGGGTAACGTAAAACCATGGGTCTATCAGGAGCCAAGAGTGAAGGGCTTCAGAAATCTGCTGCTACCCCAAGGTCTCACTGGAGCCTAGTAAAAATTATCCCAGAGAGAAAGTCCATGGGAAGAATTTTAGGAAGGAAATGTTAGCAGAAGCTTAAAATAGTTGAATGTTAGAAACCAAATTTAAGCATCACAGTCAGTGTCAGCGAATTCAGTAAGAGCCTAGAAAGAAGGAGGACCAGTTGCTAACTCTTGTAGACAGTTTTGTTTACAATTGTGTATAGCTTATATATCATGGGGACATATGTCATTTTAATAAGTTCTTTACCCACAGAATTTCCTTATAAGCAAGTAGAATGTGATAGTACTGTGTGTTTATAGACAAAATGTTGAGCTAATTTTTCCTGGATTATCACATTTTATTGAAAACTACGACATTGAATATTAGGATGAACAAACAGTGTTTGCAATACAGAGAGGATATTCAAAGACTTTCCTATTTCTAATTAATACCCAAAGTAGCACAGTTTGTCTAGGGCATTCTCTACCAACCTGGATCTGTTATTTTCTTTTAAATATCAACAGGCTGAAAAGATAGAGTAATATATTGAAATTGTTGATATACTTATAATCCCAAATATTACTATGTTTATCAACTAAAACATTTTTGGAATGTTAATTCAAATACTTATATGTTATCACTAGCTCCTTTTGTGCTTCAAGAGTTGAAAATACTTGATAAGAAATAAATACTGAAGGTGCTATTTTATTCTAATGAGTTCAGTGAATAAGAATGAAAGAAACAGCTTCTGTCTGTCACTGTCTCTGTCTGTCTGTCTGTCTCTGTCTCTCCTCTCTCTCTCTCTCTCTCTCTCTCTCTCTCTCTCTCTCTCTCTCTCTCACACACACACACACACACACACACACACACACACACACACACACCATCTTGACCATAACCATTACCACCATCGCAAGAAAGAAGAACACTTTCCACCAGGTTTTAATTCCCTGATCGGTCAGAGATCTCAAAACAGCCCCCAGGCGAACCTTCTGGAGACCTTGTGTTCAATTCTGGATTTCTGGCTCCTGGAGGCTCTGACAGCTGGATCCCAAGACGGCCTGGAAGTCTGCATGTTCAACAAAATCCTTGATACAGGTCTCAGTGGGAATTAAGAGAGGCCAAGACCTCTGCATCTCTTAGAAGACATCTCTTAGAAGACATCTCTACAGACCCATGGCCTTGACATGGAAGGGTGAGGAGCTGGCAGACACCACAGGCTGTGTTTCCATATACACAGACCTTCCTGGGTCACAGGCTCCCACTTGCTCTCCTGGCTCCCTCATGGGTCTTGGATGCGGGGACAGTCTCAGGCGAGGAAGCATGCACAGCGTGGGACTGTGCCTCACCTTTTCCAGGACCCTGCGACAATTCCTCCGGTCTCTCTTGAATATGGACGACTTTTGGGATTTGGGACTAGAAAAGCAATTAGGTGCTCTAAGTGGGCTATACTAGTCGGAACATGGAAGATAGAAGTGCTGAGCACAGTGTAAATTATGACAGCCCATCCCAAGGAGTCCCAGAGGGGAGCAATATTAGTAAGTGGCCTACAGACCTTTCTTGCGATACTTTGGTGTGGACCGTGTGTGTCTCGTCATCTTGCAGACTACAAGTTCTTGCAGTTCTCAAGCAGGGAAGCATCCAAGAAGCATATGTGCTTTTTCAAAACACATATGCCAAGATTAACTCCACTGTGCTTCAGTTTCTCCCTGGGTACCAAGGAATGTGGGGCTGGGGTGGGGGGGCTGGGGGTTATTTCATAAGCATATTTCTGCTAAACTAATCATTTTTGTGATTATCAAATTTTCAAAGTTCACAAATTGGTTCATTTTAAAAGTTGGATTGTCTTTGGGGAAAATGATAACTTTCATTATTAAGTATTGATAAGCAAGCAATAAATAAATAAAAATTAAGCAAACCTCAAAAAAAAAAAAAAA